TCTTCTCTTTTATCTGTGTTTGCGTGCGCGCGCATGTGTTTGTGTGTGTGTGCGTGTGTAAGGACTGTACTTATTACTTTTTGTTTACTAATTTTGGTTTGAGATTTTTCATCGTTTCTTTTTATTATTATTATTATTATTATTAGGATCCACTTTTCCTTGATAAATGTGTGATCACGCTCAACCCAGAATCTGAAAAGGTTTTCGAAGTTCAAGATTGGAACAAAGAGACTTATTTGTTTAAGGTAAGAAATCCTCGTTGGCTCTCCCATAATTAATTTCAACAAAATTAAAATATAAAGATTTCATTCAAAATACTAACTGAAAATACAATTTTAAACACCAGCATCCTGAATAACAATTGCGATTTTGACCTGAATAAAGGACAGTAAATTTTCTGATAAAATTCAGTCTTTGACTATCTTGTGAGATCATAACACTTGATACCAGTGCACCGACTATATTTGAATTTTAGTCGTATGACACATGCTAAGATAAGCTTTGGTGAGGTGGAACAATCCAGTAAAAACATGTTTCCAGTCATGAAAATGCACACTTGCACTTTTTGTTCAGTTAGAGTCATTTGAGATTTTAATCCACTGGGAATAGCCTAATGGATTACAGCGTCGGTTCGTGAATTTGGTCATTTTGGGTTCAATCCCTCGGCCAGGCAGTGGGTACTGGAACTCGGTGGAAACTAGTGAGCAATAACTGAGCAGTACTAAAGATAAAAAACTATAAGAGTTATCCTTAAACAGGAGCAGATGAACTAGACCCGTAGATTAAATAAAGTGTTCAGTTCAGAATTCCCTATAGGTTACCCAGATACACCTGATGAAGGCCGGGTCGGGCACAACGACTGAAACAACAACAATGATGAGAACAATAGTCCGAATGTAAACAGTGTAAATAATAACTTCTCATTCTAGAAATTCAGGCAAAAAAATGAACTGTTTTACTATTAAAAATATCGGAAATGAATAAATAAAAAAAAGGAATTAGTCTCCGGTTACATTTGAACTACCATTCTGGTTTTCTGTATTTACTGACAAAAGCGGGGACACTTTATCACTAAAAGACGAAGCGCCTTCAGGTCGTAGACAATCATGGCTCCACAACTTCTTATCCTTTGTATCCCTTAACAATGTTTGCTTTTTTACTAACCTCCCCACTATTTGATCTAACAACCATTTACACGCGTCCTGGGTAAGACGATAAACTAAGTCTGCGTCCTGGGTAAGACGATAAACTACGTCCAACGGCAAGGTCTCTGATCAGGAGGTTTTGAGGAGCATGAAACCACCTCTTAATTGCTGGTGTTCCCAGGTCCACCCTGACCCAGGGTGGTAGAACCTGTTAGGGTCTCAGCTATGGGCAAATAGTTAACACCCAAACTTGTGTAAACATAGGTTTTAATACCATAAATATTTTGTAATAAAAAATTATTACCAGCAATAATTTTTGAAGGAAAAATTATTATCAGCAATACTTAAAAAAAATACCAGTAATACAAACAGCTATACATTCTTTGGAAAAAAAATTGGAGAATGGAAGTCAGAATGCAAAATAGTTTGAACAAAATATTACTAAGTGAGTAATTTTTAAAAAAAAGAAGCTTTTTACGAAAATAAAACCATCCAAGATAGTAAATTTCCTAAAAGAAGTTGGATTTTACTCAAAAATATGAGTAATTGAAAAATGGTTCAAATATATATGTATATATACATTTTTACCAAATTATCGATATGAATCTATTTCAAAAATTTTGTTGGCATTAAATGACCCACTGAGGTTGATATGCCATAAAACAAAACAACCAACCAACCATTTACACAAGCTCGTTAGGTAGGTTACTCGCTGTTTCCCCCCGCCCCTCTTGCCTTCTTTTATCCTGTGAGTGCCAAATTCTCCAAACTCTCTTTCCCCATTATGTGTTATAAAATTTCAACTGTATCTTTCTTATTCCAAGTATAAGTGTGTGTTTTTTCCATTTTCCTTAAAACTTTCTCATTGCTCACATGATCCGCCCATGGTAATCTCCGTGCTCTTCTATAAAACCAAATCACTTATGCCTCAAGGAAATTGTCCAGCATTCACAGCCATATAGGAAAATCGATATTACATAGCATTTAAGCACTCTTTTTATTTGCTTCTAAACACTGTTTCTGTTTCTTAATACTTTAAGTTTTTGGAAGAGATCTTGAATCTTATATCATTCTTATCTTTCTTTCTTTTTTTAATGCAGGGTGAAGACGACAAGGAGACAAATCTCTGGGTTGAGCATCTGAAGAAACTAAGCAAGAACTTGGGGGTTTTCTGGCGTCGCAGAAACGCGGTTCCGGACATTAAAAGTAAAAGTGAAGGATGACTAACAGCCAGTTCCCACGGGACCCTTCTTTTGCTAAAGCAAGCAGCTCGCACCCTTTTCCTGTGTGGTTGTCAGCAAGTTGAGCAACAGTAAATGCTCTGCCTTCGCCTGCCAACCAGCTGATCCATTGTTGGGCGTGCTAACTCGGGTTTCACCTATCGTGCTCACATCAACAAGTCAATATTACCTGGCCGAGTTTCATATTCTAAATTAGAGAAGGATTCAATGACTTGGGATTTCTGATTGTCAAAATGATTTTTTTTTTCATTACCAGAAAGCAACAGTAAAGCAAACGAACGAAAGATAGTAATAGAATCGGTAATCCAAATATTAATCCAAATCGGATTAGAATCGGTAATCCAAATATTAAGAAATATGCATGTTTTAACCAGAAAGATCTTGCAAAGAGTTAAGTAAACTCTTGTTGTAAGTTACTTATCATGCCTGACTGCATTAAAGACAATCAAAAATATGTCTGTTGGAAAAATATATGAAAAAAAAGCGAAGAAAAATATAATATGACCGATTCAAAGTATTAAAAGAAAACATTCACGATTATTAAAATTCAAAATTTAAATTAGATTACTGATATTGAGAAACAATGTTCTGTAAACCGTAGAATGTTGAAATGCGCATGCGCAGAAGCAAATTCTGTATAATGTTGCATGTTGAAATGCGTATGCGCAGAAGCAAAGTTCTGTACAACGTAGCATGTTAAGATGCGCATGCGCAGAAGCCATGTTCTGCACAAGATAGAATGTTGAAATGCGTATGTGCAGTAGCAATCACGTAGACTGTTGAAATTGTATATGCAAATAGAGTCAGATTTTTTTTTTATTTGACTCCGTAGCTCGGTCATAATATGATACTCTGACGATTTAAAGTCACAAGAGAATTCGATTTTTGAGCTGGGTCATAACTCTGACAGTTGAATAAATTACTCATGCAACAGACAGTTAACCAACACAAGAAGTCAAGTCAGTGTGAGACATTACTGAAATTTTATCTCAAAATTTCAAAAACAGAACAAGAGGGTTAAAAATATATATGATGGTTTTTTTCGATAGATTAATGAACGTGTTTCACAGGTAATATCCCAATCCCACCCATCCCGTAACTTGAGCACAGATCTATCTAGTTCAGGTATTGAACCCATATCTATCTAGTTCAGGTAATAAATAGGTTAAGCCTGTCGAAAATTCTGATCAGTACAAAATGGTGCTGGTCAGCGGTGCACAACTTTCTTTAAATGATGGATCAGTTTAAACTGCTTGAAAAAAAATATTTATGCAATTTTTATCATTGGGTTCCGGGGAACTTTAGTCTCCTGGCAGTGAAATTCAATGGAAAATATTAACTTTTCCCTTGGATTTCATTTCAAACAATTAAAATGGGATTAACAGTTCTTTTTTTTTTTCAATTTAATGAACTAAATGTCCGTGACATCGGCAGTTAATTGTTTTAATACAGTTTAATTTTTTAGGCTATAAATCTGACTGAAAATACTTCAGTTTTCCCGGATTATTAAATTTTGTGCTTGTCAGGTAACGAAGAAAAGAAGTTTTTAAAAAAATTGAAAGAAAATGCATTGTGCAAAACGTGACTTTCAAATATATAATTATGTAATTCATCACAAAACCGAGAAGGCGATAAGTTTCGGTACCGACACGTAAACATGAGATTGTAAAACTGGCGATGTTGTAACATTCTGGGCGCCATCTTTTGTATATTTTCCCTTGTTTGTTTATTTCTTTTCTATAATTCTGTTAAAAAAAAACCAAATTATATGTATATATATATATAAGCCGAATACGGTTATTACACATGTATATAGAGGCTGTGAAATAATGATGAAAATGATGACGACGATGATTTTTTTTTTTTTTTTAAGAAATCAGACGTGACAGTGGTCGTCTACTATCTCGTCTGACTTCTTAGGGGTACCAATAAATATTTATAAATATTTTTAATACCCTTGCCTACATTAAATAGCACCCACGGGTATTAACTTAAACGAAAACAGAGCCACATCTTAGATATCTAAACTAATCTCTCTCTCTCTCTCTCTCTCTCTCTCTCTCTCTCTCTCTCTCTCTATATATATATATATATATATATATATATATATATATGCAAAAAATATGTTATATAAACACTATATACCAGACAAATGATAAGTGATTGAATGGCAAAATGGAAAAAATCCTATGTAACGCATTTCGTCTTTCAAAAGGACTTCTTCAGATAATGTTTTTATTGATAAAATCACACACACACACACACACATATATAACAATCGTTGGTTATAATTATACATCATATTTCGTCTCCCTACACACACATATATATATATATATATATATATATATATATATATATATATATATATATATATATATATATATATATATATATATATATATATGTAGGGGACGAAATATGATGTATAGTTATAACCAACGATTGTTCATATTTATATATATATATATTCTGATCTCATCACTAAAAATATTATTTAATCCTTTTTAAGAATCCTTTTAAAGGATACATAGGACTTTTCCATTTAATCATTCAAATAACAACCATGATTTTCTTTTTTCATTAACTAAATGAATAGGACAATTACATTAGATTTTTTTAAAAATTATCGAATTACAACTCAAAGAGTCGATATTGCTTTCAAGTTAATTTCACAATATCAATTCAAAATAAATCTTGATTGCTTTTGAAGTTTGAAGGAATGTTTAAATTCAGACACATGGTGATCCCAATCAGAAATTTAATATAAAATCTGAATAACAATAATCTTTCTTTCTATCTCTCTCCTCTTGAAAAGGTTGATTGACACCTATCATGAATTAAAAAGTAAAAAACAGAACCTATTTTATTGGTGCCCCATATTATTGAGTAAATACACTTAGGTCATGCCGAATTTCACAAAGTAATTCAGACAGATACCTAAAGCCACGATAAATACGTATATGCTTTAGCCCGCCTTTTTTCCCCTAACAAATGATGAAAGAATAAGTCTTCCCAAAGGCATACAAACTGACAGCTAATCTTAATACGACTTTGAGACATTTTAAAATATGACGCAATTTTCCTTTACTTAAAACATCTGTCAAAATGCGTGTACTTCACTTTGTGGAAATCGTGCGTGCACCTACGTGTATCTGAAAAAAGAAAAACATCAATGAAGTTCTTAACGAGAAATTTTCATACACACATATAAATATATTTTTCTAGAAAATACCAAAGTATTCCATTATGCTGTGTATGAAATAATAGATCTCTTTTAAAAAGGACACAAAAAACATGAAAGAACAAAAAGATAGATCTGGAAAAAAAGACTTAATTCGGTGTTGTCTGCTTTTTTATCATAATTTTCAATGTTAGGAATGGTTCAGAAGCTTAAAGAGAAAAAAAGGATTGAAAATGTTATTTGATTAAAAGGCCGTAACCTTTTGTTTTGTTTTTTTGTTTTTTGTTTTTTTTTTTTCTAAATTTTTGAAGAAATAATACCTGCTATTATTATTATTATTATTATTATTATTATTATTATTATTATTATTATTATTATTAAGGGTATATATTTTGCGTGTCGCATTATAATTAAATCAATTCCTGATATTTTTCCTCCGATTGCAGAGAACACAAAAAATGTTTTTGACCCACTTCCGCGACAAGTGTTTTTTTATCCTCCGTATACTTTCATTTTTAAATCTTTGCAAATGATGGGGAAAAATTAGTTTGTTTTCACGCACACTGTATTCTTGGAAATCTTAACCATTTTTATTGTTTTGCTGATGAAAGTGAAACCTTTTCTTGTTCTTGTTGTTGCTTCCTTTCTCTCTCTCTCACACACACACACACACGCACGCACACGTATACATTCAAAGTCACTATTGGTTCTGAAAAAAAGGTCTGCCGCGTCTACTGCTGTCGACACAGTAGTGAGATAGTTTTTACATTAGCCATTACTAGATATGAATGAAGCTCTCTCTCTCTCTCTATATATATATATATATATATATATATATATATATGCATGCAAAATTACATATATTTGTTGTAAGATACTATACAGTGTTAATCAGATGTTTATTTTGCTGATAAAGTCAAGCAAACTTTTATATTTTATTGAACATTTTTTACATTCATTGAAAATACAATTTTCTTTGCTTTCTTTTTTCCTTCTTCCTTTTTTTCTGTTAGTTTTTTTTTTTCTTTCGTTTTCATTTCTTTTCTTTTCTTTTTCTTTTTTTGCTGTGAAGTTTATAAATTCAAGATACGTCACTACAAAACCTCTTGAATACAAACATTTTTACATAATATCTAGCTTAGTACAGAGACCATGCTAGTGGAATACCAAGCTGAGATCAAATTCATTAATACTGGTCCGCAAGACTAACTTGCTGACCATTGGTCGCCGACAGATGTCCATAAATACGTCAATTTTATGTTAAAAGGAGTCACGGTTAAAAAATTATACTTGATAATTGTAGGTTCCTTATAAATAAAATGAAAAAAATCTAAATTTCAGTCTTTCAGATTGAAAATGGCGAACTTGGCAAAACATTTTACAGTGTATTGTTGTAGAGTGATTATGTCAATATTTAAAAATAATTTGTGATGTCAAGCCTTATTTTTGGTTTAGATAAATTTGTGTGCGCATGCATGTGATGTAAACATCATACACATGTGTGCATCGGTATTTAATTGTATATACATATTCTTTCGTATGTTTAAAATCAACTACGTACAGACGCTCAAGCTAATGTTTGTGTATGTAAATGAAAATTTGTGTGTGCATGAGCGCGTGCATATATATATATATATATATATATATATATATATATATATATATATATAGTTGGGTATTGATGTTTTTTTTTCTCTTAAAAGAGCAGTGTCTCTTCTCTGATTAATCATGACTTAGCCTTGTGCAACCTTTATTTTTCTATGTGATTTTTATTTGTGTCCACAAAAAAATTATTATTATTCAACAGAATGACGTAACGTCCAAAGATGCTGGACATTATAAGAGGAAGGATAGGAACTCGTTATTTCTACTACTACTTCTGTTGCCAGGGTTCGCTGTACATAGACTCACGCACACAACTCGAGGAAACTCGGTTGATCTGAGGCTATAGCTAAAATCCGATGTGGAGGGGAATGGAAGAGTGAATTCTCCGGCCTGGGCTGGAAAAATCCAGGTGGGGAGGTGCCTTACAATTTACCTGCATAGTAGAAGATTAAAAAAAAACATTGTGACAATCATGACCCAAGGAAACACGTAACCATAGCGATAGGAATTATTCGGAAGGTGTTAGTAGTAGTAGCAGTCGTGTAGCCATGGAGGTTATCGCGTAGTTGTGGTTACGTTTGAATGTAATGATCGTTATGGCGACATTATTAGATGCTGTTATTTCTTAGTTTACAGGTGAATAGCTGTTTTAGCGCAACTCTAGGCCTAACTAGCTCGCATTAATGAAGAATTAAGCTCACGTGGCAATACACACAAATAGCTAAAAGAAAAGGAAAGAGTTAGCTTTCCACGACAAAATGAAGGATAAGTGTCGTCTGCTTCATTCAGTTTACCCTTTATTTAACTGCGCCATAAAGTAGCTCGCATTTGATATCACTCTCTCTCTTTCTCTCTCTCTCTCTCTCTCTCTCTCTCTCTCTCTCTCTCTCTCTCTCTCTCGTTAATGGCTTTATCTTCACGATTCATTTTTCTATTTTTGGCTGGTGAAGCAAGATCCATTCTTTACAGCTGCTTAAAATAAAACTATCGATTGAATTAATCGGCATTAAAATTATTTATTGAATCAACCTTCTTGGCAGTTTCACTGACTCTATCTACTAACGCGCCTTAAAATATCAGGTCCATTAAAATGGCGTCAAAAACTTTGATTGAGAAAAACGACCTCTGTACATGACAAAAGTAAAACTCTGCTTGGAAATAATGCCATTCAATATATCCCTCGTTGTGGGTCTTGTCTCATCAAACCGACGTTTTTTTTTTGGTTTTGTTTTTTTGTTTGTTTTTGTTTTGGTTGTTTGTTTCTTTTTTTTGCCTTTTCATTTTTTTTTTTTACTTTTTTATTCTTCTCATTTTAAAGTTCATATTTTCATTATGACGACAAAATTTATTCTACAAGAAGCTATTTGAATAACGAAGCATAATTACCAACTTACAAATCAACCACAACCAATATCCTCATATATAAATACGCATACACACATAGACACACACACATGTATATAAATATAAATGTGTGTGTGTAATAATGTATTTTTGCGGCATACAAGACCCGCTTGTATACATACAATGCACTCTAAATTTATCATAAAATATGTTGAAAAATACACTATATATATATATATATATATATATATATATATATATATATATATAAAGTGAACATTGAAGTCAACACTTAGAGGCAACAGGCTGTTTCATGCTAGACGCAATCGTCAGGCTGTTTCATGCTAGACGCAATCGTCAGGCCACGATTGCGTCTAGGATGAAACAGCCTGTCGCCTCTAAGTGTTGACTTCAATGTTCACTTTTATATTTACACCCGCTCTATCTCTGATATTGAGCACTTTATACCATAAATATAGCACACCTTAAGACTATATTTCTTCATATATATATATATATATATATATATATATATATATATATTCATTTTTAAAATGCGGAGAAAGTTAAACTAGGGTGATAAATAGATCCCAAGTTTAACCAACAGCTTAGACTTCACCATGTTTAACGCAGGGTGATTTTGAATGCCAGACTTCAATTTTTAAAGATGTTCCTTATATGCCGCAAAATGTAGCTATATATAATTCTCTCTTTCTTTCTCTCTCTATCACACACGTGCACACTCATTATATATATATATATATATATATATATATAGTTGTAAATATAAATGTGAGGATATTGATCGATGTGAAATTCACTCCTTTTAAATCATACCATTTTTTACAAGCAAAAAAAAAAAAAAGAAATTCAGCTTGCTTTCATTTTCAGTTTCCATTTACCCAAAATTCGTTTTTATACGAATTGCTCATATCTACACACAAAAAAAAAATGAAGTGACAAATTTTCGTGTCTAATAATCCCATATTTTTTTTTTCTTTTTTGGCTGTGTTTACGTACAATACTTTACACTTACATTTGTGGTGCATTTGAAATCATAATTTCTAACTTTGTGATCGGTTTATACAAACCAGAAATAAAAAAAAATCAAAACAAGTGTGTAAACAAACTAAAACCGGCTCGAATCTTAATTTCATTCTATTTCCTCCATCTTATAATCAATTCAATGGCGAATCTAAAATATGTATTCATCCCAAACCACTTCCATTCTCCAAACTCATTTGAATCTTATTAACCATGCGAATTCCACCTTACTCTCTCCACAAACCACTATATGAACTTTCTCCCTCTTCAGTAATCTCTAAATCTGGAATATGTTTAACCATTGTCCAGGATCTCCAGCAAACACGATGAAATAACACTTTTTTTTTAATGACTAGTTTATATGTTGTTTATTATTTAATGAATTAAACTAATATTTCAAAAGATCGACATCTCTCGGATAATCACTACTTGTCTTTGTAATTTATCGAAATACTTCTTTGTCAAATTGTATTTTGAACCAAATTTAATGACTTATTCCTCAACTGGATGTTTAATTTCTTCGTCACTAAATTAGTAAAGAGATATATTTCGCAAAAAGAAAATTCAATTTTAAGCCCACTTTTACTCAACTTGACGCCTCTATTGCCTTCGGTACTCAATCTTCAGCTGAGTGAAGACTGCAGTGCTGAAAAAGTAACGGGGGAAATTTCATGTTCATTTGTTCCTTTATTCGTTTATACTGTATTGATGAGAAAACATTTAGCAAAGCTTAGTTACCAAATAACGAACATGCCATCAATAAAATGGCGCCTAAATATAACGTTCAATACAGTGTAACTTTTACGATTACACAAATTTAGCGAATCAACAGGAACAAAGGAAATCTTTAAAATTATAGATATAGTTTTTTAAAAAAAAAATGGCGTCCCTTTTAATGTGATTTTTAGTGACGGCAGATTTTGCATTACGCTAAGGTTTTAGTCGTCCTGATATTTTTTGTTGTTGTTATGATTACTGATTCATATTTTTTCCTTGTAAATGTGATATTTGTCTCTTGTTATTAAGACGATTGTATTTTATAATGCCAAGAAGTAATGTTTTGTGTTTACGCACATGATGATGATGATGATGATGATGAAATTTTTCTTACGATAATAAAATCTCTAGTCTCTAGACGTATACATATTCACAATGCAATGAAAAGCCGCTGCCGCTTACTTACATTCTTTTGTTTCTAATGATTTTTTTTAGTTTATTTTACAATCGCTACAGAAAAAAAATGTCTACTTTTAACGCTTTAACGCTTTCTTCCTCCCACCCCCGCTGGGACAAATCTTTCCAAATTATATCCTTTGTAGGCCCTTTCTTCTGTGTGTCTATCTCTCTCTGTCATGTGTCTTTCCTACAGTATGCATGTATGTATGTATGTATGTATGTATGTATGTATGTATGTATGTATGTATGCATGAATGTATGTATGTATGTATGGAACACGAATATGGAATATTAATTACTGTGAATGCTCAACTGAAGGACAATTCTTTCATATCCAAGAGTTGTTAATTCTAACTTCCTTGATGAGTAGTGGTGTTTGCTTCAATATGTCTTTCAGTATTTTTTTATGAACAATGGGTTTTGTTATACATACGTATTTTTTTTTTTACCAGCATCACTATTTTTTTTCTTTGTTTTATCTTATATAATCACATTTTCATGATGCTGAGAAATTGGTAAACGGAAAACAAAACAGTTTTAATCGCAAACTGTTTCCTCATTTTCTATGCCAATTTCGTGTCTGTTTTACGTTTGTTTGTTCTGTACCCGAATTGTTAACTACTAATTTTGTCATTTTGACTTGAACAAAGCGTTTACGATTGAGGTTAAAATCTACTTGTTGACACGTACCTCTTTGGTTTAACCAAAACGATACTGCTGCACATTAAAATATTACTCGTATACATGTAAACACACACACGGCGAGGCACACATACACGCAGCGACACACACAGAACGAAACACACACATACACACACGCAGACATCCTTTCTTCTTTTTCTACATTCTTTCCTTTATTTTATTTTATACTACACTCCATTTTTTATTATCAATTCAGTACTTCTTGTTTGTCCAAATTACATACCAAATATTAGAAGACGAATGATTTCGTTGAAAGATGTGAAAAATAAAAACATAACTATTACGCGACAGTGAATCTGAATTACCTCAGAATCAAGCTGTTGTATTTGTTGTCCTAATCGGGACATTTTAACAACATATATTTGTTTTCGAATGTCAGAAAATTAAATTATCGAATAGTCCTGACATTTTAACGACACAAATTCCGGCAGTTCATATTCTGAATCATGCAAGGTTTGTTTTGGGGGCGTGCTTTTTTTTTTTTTTTTTTTATTCGGCAGGAACTAAAACTTTTTTTTAAAAAAAAAGAAGAATATTTGAGACTTTCATCTTTTTTGAGTGGCAGTGAGATCTCGTTATGTAATATTTTGTTTCTTTAGACAAAATGTTTAAGTACCGTAGGAGTGGAGATAAGAGTTTATATTTATATATAATTTTCACGTTTACACTGCTTGGTTGAACGAGGAAGCGCGAGAGCTAAGAGACAAAATAACTAAAAAGTAGGTAAGCAAAAAGATTGAAAGTGAAATGCCTGTGCTGTTCGCATGCGCAAATGTGTACTGGTTGAGTTTTCTGTTTTATTTCATTTTTTAGTTCTTGCGATTTTAAAATTTTCAATTTAGAAACAAAGATGAAAATTCCTTTAAGAAAGTAAATGTGAAGTATTATTTGTTTTATTTTCAATTTTCTGACAGTTAAAAAAAAAACAGAATACTTTAAAATGGAATAAAAAAGAAAATTATATTAAATCAAACTGTTGTATGTACGCCTTGCTTTAGATGTTATTCTTGCCCGGCGAACAAACGTTAAATTCATGTTTTTTAAATATCAACATTTCGAATAAAATATCATTTGAAATTAAAACGTCTTGTTTCCTTCATTTTTTGTCTTTGATTTTATTCACACGCATCCGTAGACAAACACACACACACACACACACACACACATATATATATATATATATATATATATATATATATATATATATATATGAAAAACAAGAGGAAAAAATCATGCCAACGCGTTTAGTCCCTTGAGGAGCTTTATCAAGACTTTATCGCAACGTGTTTTCATAATAGGTTTTATTTTGTCTTTTCTTTTATTTATATTGTCTTTACAGATATATTTATGTCTGAATTTTACACACATAAGTCATTATCAAAGATGACAATTACATTTCAGTATATTAAACACGGACAAAACAATAATGATAATCTGTTTTTGTTGCATGAAAATTTAAAAGCAACGACAAACTCGTGTATACGAGACGCGGAAGCGAAAATTGAATCGAAAGCTTAGATTGGATTAAAACATGTATCATTATGGTGATTTCCTCTCGTCTTTCAATGATAATGTTATTAAGCTTATCAGACAATATGAAAGGAACTTACTTAAAATAGACAAAACTTGTCTATATTATTTAATGAAACATGCACCAATATATATATATATATATATATATATATATATATATATTAATCATTTCACCCCAAGCAAGGCAATAAAGCCACTAAGATGCAAGAAGTTACTGAATGTGAAAGAATATGAGACAAAACTCTTATTAAGGAGAGATAACAATACAAGAACTGGAATTAAGAAGACAGAATATAAGGTTTGATACCGCATTTAAATTTTTGAAGATCACACTTGACTGGAAATCAAGAGGCCGGAAGATAGTTCCACAAACGACAAGTGTGAGAATGAAAACTGTTAGTATAGAACATACGACTACATCTAGCCATTTCAACTGTAACGTGATGAACCTATGTAGACAATCTAGTACTGCACTTAAATTAATAAAGTCTTGGTACCTTAAAGAAAAGTTAATCAGAATAATTATCATTAAATAATTATAGAAAAGTCACAGAGAAGCTACGTTACGACGGTGGAAATGTAACTGAATCCAAGATGCCATGTCAGGACCAATAACATTGGAGACTCGTCGTTGCATTTCATTAAGCATCAGTAAATACATAGCATAAGCACCAAACCAGGCGTGGCAGCAATATTCAATGCCTGCACGAATGGTACACTTGTAAATGTGTAAGATAGATTCTGGCGAGAAACATATCCACTTCATGTCACCGAAAAACGTTAGCCCTAGAAGGCACAATGAGTCACTCACTTGGAGGTTAGCATTAGCCATACTGATGGAAGGCAAAAAGGATTCTCTTAAACGATTATAAGAGACCAGTTTAAGATTAAGAAACCATTTATTGGCCAGTTAACAACAGATTGTAGGTCATTTTTAGGTCAGTTTCCAATCTGACCTTATCGAAACGATCAGACTTACTAATGAGACAGGAATAAATAGTTGTGTCATCGGTATAGATAACAAGTTGAGAACTGATGACATCAGAAATGTCGTTGATGAAAATAATGAACAACGTAGGTCCAAGAATAGAGGTCCGGGAGGGGGATAATTGCATTATTGCAAAAAGATCTAAAAAAAAAATAGCCGTTTAAGACAACTATCCTTTCGATATTTGATAAGAAAGATTGAATCAGTTCAAAAATTCGTCCAGAAATACCATAACTTTTCATCTTGTTAAGACAAGTATGTCAAACCCTGTCAAATGCCTTCGAGATATCCAAAGCAACATCCCAAGCTTCACCATTCATATCTAAAGCTTGATAGAATCTTTCAGCAATAATCGTCAATACATCAGCAGTTTTACCTAGGGAAGCGAAAGCTATATTGCCTATCTGAAAGAAAACCCTGCAAGGTGAGATTCTTAACCTATTCAGAGTTGATTAGAGACACTAATTCTTTGCAATATATATATATATATATATATATATATATATATATATATATATATATATGGCTAACTTAAAAGACGCCTATCGGACGGCATTGAAGCTATGTCTTGCGAAGGGTACATGATTGGGCCTTCGGCTTGTGCAGGAGTTTGAGAATCCCTAGGTTTTTGCATATTCTCAGCATTGTAAACTCTTCTGGTTGCCGTTTGATCTGAGTTTTCATTTACACAGGACTTTCTATTCCTTACTGCAGCATTGGCTCTTTTGATTACAATCTGGTCTTCTGTTGGCGGAGTTTTCTTTTTGCGAGACACACTGCTGCTGTATGCGATAGGCAACAATAAACTATGAAAATCGCTGCATTTAAGTATTGCATTAATATTTAAGCTTGCCTTTTAAAAGTTCAATGATAATTCTTCTGCCTCAACTTAATTTAAAGACATTTTGATCTACGTAGGTCCTTAGTTTCCATACAAACAATTATTTTTATTTCATGGGTGACTTTCGCTGGATTTCGCAATTAAAATTGGTTGTTCCTAAATGTATTTCCAAGTTATAAAAATTGTTATCGTGCAAAAGAAATTGTCGCAAAAAAATAACGTAAACAATTGCAGTAATGAAAACTTGGGAATCCAAAATTTCTCTAACATGAGTTACTGAAATTTACAGAGTCACATCCCTTTAATTGAAAAGTGTGACATGGTGTCATGGTGACACACTAACATTCGCATTTATTATATAGATGGATTCTCCCGTCGATTTCGACGTATGAAATCCTAAAATCTCATTTAGTTTTTATGTTTATATCGTATTTGACACTTCAGTCCCGCTAGTGATCTGCATACAAGTCCTCATTTTGTGCAACAGCGAGGATTTCGGGACATAGTAACAGAAAACTTACGCTCTTCGCCGTTGTTGTTAATGACGCTTTTCGCCGTTGTCCTTCGTCTCTTACCCGGTCAAGACTGATTCAAAATTTCTGACACCGCACAAGTATCTCCAGTCAGCTCTATACAGGGCAACTGGATCGAAGTTAGTATGAAGCGTGTTGGCAGCTGAGAGGTTACTCTTTAGCTTGTCATTATACCTGAGCCATGGTCGTCCAACATTCCTTTGTCTACTGTCAAGCTGACTTAGGTATTCTGTCGTCATTCATACTTGCATAATCATATATATATATATATATATATATATATATATATATATATATATATATATATTAAGTTATGAAGAACTTGGTAATCCGTATGGGTAGTCCCAAGGAGGATGAAATCCTGAGAGCTCAATGTAAATCCAGAGCTAATATTTTAAAAAAAACAGACCACTTTAAAAGTACCATTATAATAATTTATTTCACCAGAGAAATAAATTATTACAATGGTACTTAAAAATGGTCTGTTTTTATATATATATATATATATATATATATATATATAGAGAGAGAGAGAGAGAGAGAGAGAGAGACCTTAAAAGTGGTCTGTTTTTCTTATATATATATATATATATATATAAAAACAAACCACTTTATATATATATATATATATATATATATATATATATAATAAAAACAGACCACTTTAAGGTACCATTGTAATAATTTATTTCTCTGGTGAAATAAATTATTATAATGGTACCTTTTAAAGTGGTCTGTTTTTCTTTAAAATATTAGCTCTGTATCAACCTTCATATATATATATATATATATATATATATATATATATATATATATGAAGGGTGATACTAATTTAGAGCTTATTGCAGTAGTAGCACAAGAATAGTAGAAACTTGGTTTTTGACGTTACAGCATTCATAGCAATGTATCTATGTGTGTGAATATGAAACATGCTGTGATATTGTTCAGTGGAGCGGAAAAGTTCTATTCCAACAGGTTTCTTTTTTCTCGATGGTAATAGTTCGTGAATGGTTAGATTGTAGATCTACCAGGGGCTGGATGGTCATTTGACGGAACAACTGTACATGTTGGACCTGACATGCCGATAGTCTTAAGGATATTCCTAAATTCCATGAAGTTTCTGAACAACCCCTTATTGCAGATACTCGTCAAGATCCATGCATTGTGAAGTCAGCCGTGGCAGAATGCACAGCGTCTATATGTCAAATATGACCCCAGAAATGTGAACACATATTGAGAATCATTCACTTACAGCAGATTTACTGGCAAGTGAGCCTCTATTCAAACATCTACTGTTGAAAAAACGCTTTTGTATATTTCTTCAGTAATGCCTCAAGAGGGTCACCCAAGGGATTTAATAGCAGTAAGTATTTGACAATTCCCTTTCAGATGAAAAAGAGACAACGCAACAGAGATGCCGTTATACAAAGGAATGCTGAGTATACCATGGACAAACTAAATAGGCTGGGTTTACTCTCATATTTAGTTTAGTAGATAGGCAGAATTCCCAAGGTTAAAGGCCCTTATTAATTATTACGACACATGTTGAGGATTTACGCTTTTAAATTGTCAAATCTGTCACTTACTATGGAGGATTTCGTCGCTATGCGCGTGCGCGCAAACATATCAAAAAGATAAATATGAATCCGGTCTTACTACACGCGCAAATTCCCGTGACTCTCTGCCGCCATCTAACTTTATTGTACATCATATTCGGCAGGGATTGCAGTTTATGTCGACACAAATCTATTTGATGTAGGTCTTGGTTTGCCATCCACGGCTAGCTCTTCCTTGTGTAGCCCCACCAAATACAAAACAACATTACAATTTTGTCTAGCTCTCAAGCAATGTCCTGTGAATTTGACTCTACGCTCTTTGATGATGTCTGATACTAGACGAAGGTTACACAACCTGCACATCCAAAACTTACATCACCTGGTATTCCCAACCGGTCACCCATCAAAGTATTGACCAGGCTCGACATTGCTTAACTACGGTGATCGTACGGGAATCGGTGTTTCACCATTGTATGACTGTAAGCCCTTTAGACCACTCGCACGTTCAAACTTACAGCACCTGGTATTCTCAAGCGGTCACCCAACTAGGTACTGTCCAGGATCAACGTAGCTTAACTTCGGTGATTGTACGAGAACCGGTTTTTCAGCATAATATATAAGGAGACATATAGACACAAATTATTCTTCTAGGTAAAGTTATTGATGCGCCTATATATGTATAAAATGGGTGCGTATATGCTAATTATGTTTCCATGTGTGCGTAATTATGTACTGATACGATATATATATATATATATATATATATATATATATATATATATATATATATATATATATATATATATATATATATATATATATATATCCTATACGGTAGTGAATTTTTGGACAGTTTCCTTACATATGACTCGAAGCGATAGAGATGAGGTTCTACAAACAGATGCTGGCAATACATTGGACAAAACACGTGAGCAAGATTTAAAAGTCCTAAAAAAATTGGAACGTGAGAGATTAACTGATAATTAAAATCAGAAAGAAACAGTTTAAATTTCTAGAACACATTAAAAGGTAGGACGGCTTTGAAAATTAAATACGCACAGGACGTATTGAGGGGAAACAACTAGCAACTTACCTAATAATTTTATGGGAATGGATGACAGAGCAGAAACAAGGATGAATAGTAAAGAGTCAAACATTGCTTACAGTTGAAAAGAAATTTATGATGAGTCATACTGACCCACGTCCTACAGGAACACAGCACATAAATGAGAGCAGGTTCTGCCTTCATGCAAATGATCATCATTTGTGCGTGTAATACAGAATTGGGATTGATTGAGTGATTGATTTTTCACGGTCTATCAACCTTTTGCAGATTATTTAAACCAGAAAATAATAATGATTTAATGATGCAAATCCTACTAATTAACCCATAGCTGGGAGTAGAAGAGGTGAATTCATAGCTTTCCCAGAAATTAATATAATGAAATCGACCGGAATTGGAATTCGAAATAGAAAATGCTTTTCGCTTAGCATTGTGGATGAAATAATGAGAATATTGGAAGTTTTTGAAAATGTTGAATGTATATTTCCTCTTCAGGTAAGTATTGGGAGCTGAAGATTCTTAATACTCTTGAATAGAATCCTGTAATTTAGGTGCCTCCTGTAATTCGCTGAAAAAGCAGCATAGCATGATGAAGAAAAACACCGAACTTAAAAAAAACAAAGTTTTAACGTGAAAATGTTTAAGAGGAAAGACCAAAGTATTTTTATTATTTTATATAATGTTGTTATACTTTCTAACACGTTCGAAATTTTGGTTAAAAATCTTTTTCTTTTTTTTTTTTTTTGCGTTAGTGGTCAACGTAATATTTACTATTGGCGTTTTAGCGCCTTTTTTTCCGGTAAAAAACATTGATTTTGAAATTCTTGCAAAATCAAATAATCGTCGGAAAATTACAACTTCCGCCGGTCTCTTAGTTTACTATACACTTTATATCTCTTCTGCTTAACATATGCAAATAGGTACAATCCTAATTAACAGTCCACTACACTTCCCTGAACCGAAGAGGTTTAATACCATTGATTGTTATTGAAGTTCTGCAAGCTCTTTCTTCCTCTTCTTCCTCTTGAGGTTTATGTCCTGTTCTTTTTTTTATGGAGATCTTGGTCTCATTTCATCTTCTTCCGTGTCTCAGTTGGAACTTTCCTCCATGGTTAGTTCACGTGATTTCTTTGACCAGTAACAGACCGCTGTGCATCTGCTACTGATAAACTCTTTTACAGAGTACGCCAAGGTGGTACAAGTGAACGGGAAGCGGTCGAGGGCTTTTGTGTTGTTTCGGTCGGTTCTGTGTTTTCGGACGGTTACTTTATGCTTTGGCCTTGGAGCCTTTCCTTCGCCGGCTGATGGACAATGTGTGCAATCCGGCCCTACGTGGAATCAGTGTCCCTGGTGGAGATCTAGCTAAAGTTTTGCGTCGGACCCAATCTGTGAGCAAGCTCGGCTTATTGGCGACCGATTTGCCCTCTTTCTGGTCCTGGGCCCAGCGGCGAATTACTTCAAAACCCTGAATTTTCGCTTACCTGGCGATTGATACGAAACGAGTAACTTTCAGAGCAGACTGGGTAGATATGCCCGATTGTCATCGGTGTGGCTTTGACTTAGAAAAAACACCAGCGCACGGCTTCTACCACTGTCATCGGGTGCGCCCGTTCTGGGATTATGTCGTATCGATCCCGAACATGTTGTGTCTATCGATCTCGCATACGCGTACGATAATGTATCGCCACTGTGTTCTAGGGTGAAACGGATGGTGTTTCTGACGCTGCTAGCCGTGACAGGGATGATGGGGTGGACGATGTGGATGGAGGGAATCTTACGATACGATCGTTATTCTCATCATGATCTGGTTGGATTCTTTGGCCATCCGCTAAGGATGAAATTAGAACTGACAGAAAACGTTTATCGGCAGATTTCAGCGAGATGTGAATGAAAGTCGAGAACCTGGTTCGTGTGAACGGGGCCGACTTTGATTTCTTTTTTTTAATCTGCTTTTGACACAACGGGGCGGTTTCCTGTCGGACCTCCCTGGTTAAGTTAGACTCTTTTGTTTACCTAGTTAATGAGAGTAATTATTGTTCTCGACTTGCTCCCGGCCTTCTCTTTAGTTATAATCCATGTCAAGATTCCCAACCTCCTCAGTTTGTTTCTGTCCCTTTTTATCTTGATTTGATCAGTCTTTGATATTTCTCCACTCCGTAATTCATTTTCTCTCTCCTCTGTTAGCAAGCGAGCGTCTTGATTCTGCCTATTGGCAGAATACAGCGGCCGCTCTTATTTTTCTGTGGGGTGGATGGGTCTTGCTAACACAGTTTTCTTTTTGTCTGAATGGTTTGGTTTTGTTTGTTTGTTTTTGTTTTTGTTTTTTTTTAGTTTCATTATTGGGTTCATCCCCCCACTCATTTCATGCTTCAATATTGTTATCTATTTTTATGAGAAAAAGAAAAAGACATTTGTACATAGTATGAATTTTTTTTATGCCATGGGTGTTTATCCGGATCCTTGTGAATATGTGATATACGAAGAATTGAATGGCGATGCATGAATTCTTGTGGTGACTGAGTGATTGTAATGAATGAATGGGTCGCCCGGTTTAGGATAGTTAGTAAAAATCAGCCTCACCCCAACTTCCCCTACAGTATTGTGCCACAATTGTAATATTGTATTACAATAAATATACTTCCGTGTCTGAGTCACTCTCGTTATCATCCATAGGCACGTTTCCAATTGGATTGTCCTGATCTGAAGAACTCATCCTTTCTTCTCTGCCAAGGTCTTCTTCCATCACGACGTCTTCCTCTTCAGTTCTGGGTCTTATCTGCTTAGAATGAGCCGTTAGGCCTTTTTTCTTTCTTTTGATATAATGGCCGTGTTATGTCCCAACGATGAAATTAGTTCTCTCAGGACTTGCTACTCGGTCTTTCTTATACAAGAACTACTTTGATCATTTCTTATTTGTTTGTCAAATATTGATTATCCCAGTTATTTTAAAGGGATTTTTCACTTATTATATCTGATAAATGAACAATACTGACTGATTAAGTATCAAGGAAAAATGAAAATCTTTATCTCTTCTATTATCATTCTTTAATCCATGTAAAATCTCTTCTAAGACATAAATCGTGGCTTAAGAATTAAAGACATGCAATTTTAAATTGCACATCACATATAACAAAAAATAAAAAGGTAAATGGTTTTCACCCTTTTTTTTTTTTGGCTCTCAATATAATAAAGAAATGCAATGAATAAAAATCATTCAATAAAATTCACAGGAACTTTAATACACAGATTTTCACACCACCTGACGGCCCTATTGGCAACTAAAATTCTATCGCTTGGCAACGAAAGAAATTTGGCGTGCGATCGTGCAGTGATGGCAGGATTTAATTATCTTTCCGTGAGAAATAATTTCTTCTTTTTCAGTTGTCTTTGATTAAATTACAAAATAAATTACAAATCATAGTTACGAAAGAATAAAGCGGTTATTTCAATTAGGACAAAATAGTGTATTCTGTTTATAGCCGAGTAGTTCGATAAGATAAAAAAAAAAGTTTCAATCATTTAGAAGGCAAATATTTTTTTTGATTTTTTAAATTTGAGAGAAAAAAGTACTGATTAAAAATAATCTATAAAAAAAATCCGGTATAAATTCAGTACTTTTTCTCTCTCGTTTAAGTGATTTTTCTTCCGGCTTCTTGCTTTCCAGGCAACTTTGATCTTCAAAAATTTAAATGCAATTTCAAGCGTGTTTTCTTAATTCCTGTTTTTTGGGGTTTTTTTTTCCTTCTCCTCCATAATGTTTTCTTTCCTCATATCACTTCACACTCAGTAATGCCTTGCACCATAATGGCTTTTATTGTTTGGGGTAAAATGATTAAAAATATGTGACAAAATAAATAATAAAAAATTATAAAAGAAGCTGCTATTCTTACCTAATTAGGTGTAAAATCATTATCATTGCTTCTGTCCCACTCCGTTTAAAAATCTTTTCTGAGCGTGTTGGCACAAATAACACGTGAAAAAGTAACGCAAATTGATCCCATTCAAAAAACCTGGACGTCAGGAATATCTGCCGTGTCTCATAAGTCAACAAGTCCGTCTCGCAAAAACATTCTATCCTCCCGAGACTCTACCAAAAAAAAAAAAAAAGCCTCCAGGTTAATCTAAGATTTACAAAGTAAGGCTAAAGACCATTTTCTCATTGAAGAAAGAAATATGAAATTGAATAATTTATGTTTTAATTAATATAAAATTGAACAATTTTTGTCTGAAAATTGTTGAATATTATTGTAACGATAACCAGTAGGGAAAACATAATTTATGAATTAACTTCGGATTTCAACGGAAACTGCTTATGCTTAATTTGCAAGATTGGAAAATGTATAACGCCACTTCTTGTTGCGCTGTGTCGAAACGGTTAGAATCAAGAGAAACAGAATTTGCGAAATAAGTTCAAATTTCGACTGTGATAAGAGAATCTATTTTAATGAATTAAACTTCTCCCAGTTCTGCACCATTTAGATAAAAGACATCAAAGAACCTTATGATGTACAGTGTAACCCGGATATAAGAGAGATTTTCTCTGGT